CGCCTGTCACGGCAACCTGCACGTCAATGTCCGGATGCCGTAGCAGCCGGAAAATGGGCGCCGCCACGCCGGCGTCCTCCAGCGTCGTCCGCAGGATCGCAATCGACCGCGACAGCATGCGCACCAGATTGCACGCCGCAACCAGCACGCCAACGGGGTTGCGCCCGTACTCTGGGTCCAGGTTGTCGTCGTCGGCCGTTCCGCTGCTGTTCAGGTCCATGTCCTTGATTGACCGTGTCCGGTCCTTGTTGGCGCGGGGTTTGGATGGCGTCGCGTTCAGAGACGCCACAACGTAGACCATGACGTCCTGATCCACAAACGCCTTTTGATAGTCGTACTTGACCGCCACAAGCGCCGTCAGCGCCTTGAGGGTCGCCTCGCGGAGTCGTATCCGGTACGCGAGCTGGCTGCTCTGGCCCGCGGGGCCCAGCTTGCTCGACGCAACCTGCATGGCCCAGCCGTCTGGGTCATTGCCAGCAGCAGCTCCGCTGTCCTCTACAAAATGTGCGCCGCCGCCGCCGCCGTTGCCGCCATTGCCGCCAACACTGCTCTGGCTGCGAGTGCCTGCGACCGGCGTCCCTGTTCGGCTGGGATTGGCAGAGGCGGTCGGTGTCGGGTTCCACGGCCGCGGGTTGGACCTAGTAGACACGGGCTCGTAGGACTCTTTGAGGAGCCTTGCTAGGATCTTGATAGCATTGCCGTCGATGGCGGCCTTTTGGAGCACATCGCTGTTAGCGACAAGCCGCGCCAGGACCGTAAGGGTTGCTTCGGTGATCGCCTGGTGCTCCGTCTTGTTGCTGTCGTCATCGTCCACCCAGCCGCCCGACGAGAGGCCGCCGCCGCCGTTCCCGGACGTGCCGGTGGATGCAGAGTTGACCGCCTCGTCGAGCATCCGAAGCAGTAGGGGGACGACGAGCAGAGCCATGGCCGACTCGCGCGTCGCGCTGGCGAACCCGGCCTTGTACAGGGAGGTAAGGACCGACGCCGCCATCAGCCGCTCCAGGCCGGATGTGGAGCGCACCAGGCTGATCAGCCAGGGCACCATGGGGCTCTCCTGCTCGTCGCCGAAGCCCTCCAAAGCGCCGAGGCCCCCTTCTGGCACTGAACCCGGCGGGTGCCGGGAGCCGGCGCTGCGTTTAGCACCAGCGCTGCTGGTAGAAGACGTCTGGCGGGAGAATGTGGAGCCGAGGGGTGGAAACGGTGAGTTGTGGGAGGCGAGATGGTGGCCACGCGGCAGCTGCGAGGGAATGGCGGGGAGGAGGAAGTCGAGTGCGCCCAGCATCTGCTGGTCCGAGGTGCTCAGGCCGCCCATGCTGAGGGCCTTCCACGCAGCGTGGACGTCGTTGACGGGGCTGTCGAACGCGAGCTGCGGGAAAATGGCCAGAATCGGCGGCGCACACAGCAGCATGTACGCGCGGAGGCGCGAGTCGCCAACGATGGCAGCCACCGCATCGAGGACGGCGCTGATATCGAGACGGGGCGTGGCCGGCTCCGGGATTGCATCACGTAGGCCTTCCTTTTCGGCGGCGATCTCGGCGCCGGGGACTACCTGGCCTTTTGCCACGACGAAGCTGGCCACCTTGACGGCGAGCGCATCCAGGACGCCGGCCTTGGCCAGTGCCAATTGGTGGCGGGTCTCGCGGCAGAGCGGGCTGATCAGCGACACGGCTGCGTTGGTGATGGACTCGGTCCACCACGCACGAGGCGCCGCGACAATAATGTTGTAGAAGGCCTGGAGGTGGGGAGTAGCCAGGATGGTGTCGGCGAGGGAGCCGATGGTGACGGGCGACGGCGCCGACGCAGGGACACTGATAAGCCGCGCCGCCTTTGTTATGGTGACAAGGGACCGCAGGGCGGCGTAGACGAGGCGGGGGTGGGTGGTGGTGGGGTCGAAGCAGGAGAGTATGGCCGGAAGAGCGCCGGCGGCGTGGAGAGGTTCAAGGAAGGCGGCACCACCTGGTCGTGTTGTGTGTTGTCAGTACATGAACAGCTCGTTATTGACACAGCACAACAGAACATCACGGCATGCCGACAGGACCTACCGCTTGCAAAGATGCCCAGCAGCTCGAGCGCCTGGAGACGTGCCAGGACGTCTGCCGGGAGGTTGTCGGGCGGCGTGACGGAGGACGGTCGCCGACTGTGCGAGCTCCCTGACCGGGAGGCATCCTGGCCATCGCCCACAGCCCAATTCGCCGGCCGCTCCGGCAGGATGACTTTGACAATCGGCCGGAGCACGCCGAGTTCCACCCACTTCTCCTTTTTCATAACATGGCCGACGGTCTCGTTCTTCAGCGCCTGCAGGGCCTCGGTCTGTTCTGTGTAGGACCGAGCCGTCCGCAGGCTCTCGAGAATGGCAACATTCTGCGAGAGGAGCACCATCTCGACGGCGGTGCCTCTGGTGGGCCGGTCGAGTGGTATGCGTCGCCCTGCACCGGGCTGCCTATGTCGGATGCTTTGAAGCTGTCGCAGTAGTGTGGCGTTTGTCAGAAGGCGTCTTATGCGAGCTCCTGAGCGCCGTCCGGGCCGTCGATCCGCCTCAATGGACGCCTGCAAGGTTGAAGAATGGTCGAGCGTGCAGTATTGATGGTACTGGGGATGCTGGAGATGCGGGTGCTCGTATGGCTGTGTGCTGTAAAGAAGTGGTGGTCGCTGGATGTCGCCAAAAGGAATGAGCTGACGATGATGCTGCAAGAGCTGGTGGTTGTTCTCTGCTGAGCAGCACGTTCTTTTGGAGCCACGAAAGAATCAAATCATCGGTCAGGGGACTGCTTTCGACGCAAGAGGCGCTGATGGCGGCCGAGCGCTGTGACCGACGTTGATGGAAGTTGGTAGCCTTGACGATCGCGTGCAGTTGGTTGGTAGGACAGGGGCCCAGGCGCACCGGCTTTACGGAGTATTGCAGTGGAGACACCTCGTACTCCACAACTAGCACCAGCCACTTAATGGTGGCTTGAAAAAAATCACGTAATCAACGTGAAAAACGTGCTTGTCACGTGCAAAGTCCACAATGGCAATCTCGTTTTTACCAACGGAATTCTTCCAAAAATGCATTCAAGTCGATCCTTGTACGGCAAGGTACTTGCAGATAACACATATTGACCGCCGCTGTGGCCGTACCCGGAGCTGCTCTATGCGACTGTACCCAAGGAGTGGCCACGCCCCCAATCCGTGAACGTTCATTTGTCGGTTTCCTGGACCTTCTCATCGAGGACTCGGACACCCAGAATGCAATTGTCCGTTCTCTTTATGCTTTCATTTAGTTACCCTCGAGCCTCTGCCTTAAAACCAGAGATAGTTGTTAGTGCTGCTTTCTCCTGCTGCCGAGCATGACCATCAAAGCCATAGTTTTTGATTGGCACCGCTCCAGACCTCTCTAAGCGAGTGTAGCGAATAACCGAGTGTCACCATCGCAACGTGGAACGCATGCGGTCGGCATTTGGGAGAAATCTCTTGCGGGCAGCTGACCTGCTTCTGTTTCTTTTCGTCGTCGGTCGCTCAGGCACAAAATTGTGTATGGGCTGTGGAGTGCGACGGGTGCCTCTGCTTGTCGTATCCAATTCGCTGATGCTCCGTACTTGCTATGACCGTCATTTGGTCGCCGTGTTATTTGGACCAAAACTGCATATGAAATAAGATACAAGATACGGTTTGTTGCTTAACGGCAGGCCGGCTTTCGTTGCCCTTGCCCCGACTATCGTAAACGGCACTTCCCTGCGGGTCTGACCAGGCCACTAACACCTTGCACTGGGGGAGGGGTTCGGCTCGGTGAGGAAATAGAGTTAGGAACGTTCAACACGTAGGAGAACACGACGTATCAACCATTCTCCAAGACCCTTCTTGGCTGTGACGGCCAAGCTGGCCTCGACCATCGGGACATTCCAGGACATGATGATCGCGAGGCCATGTGCTCAGAAGTGGCGGCTCTGACCTGCAGGGGGAACATTCCAACATCTAGGGTTTGTTGTCGTTTATTTTGCCTTCTTTGTCTTTTCCTCCTTTGCTGCACACCCTCTTGTTCCTTTCATGCGAGGCAACGACCCGGCCGTCGGGCAGGCACAGTTAATTGGGCCCGGAGCGATGTCGCTGGTCGTCTGTCCAGAGGAGGCAACGGTCAACATCGCCCTTAGAAGCCCACTTTTTTAGCAGTCGTTTTGCTATGGAGCCTTGCATGGCGACAGGCGCCTTGCCATTTCCCATGCACTTGGCATTGGTGTGGATGCGGGCTGCACCTGCCGCTTACGCTCGACATTTACTTCTGGCGGCCCAGCCACCAGGAAGGTACGTACTTTTCTTACTTATCTCATCTCCATCCTCCATCCTAGCGGGTGCTTGTTCCGACGCAAAAGCAAAGAAACAACCGGAAACGGGAGCTTTTCCCAGGGGCGATTTCCCCGCCGTTACACCACGCCATATATCATCTTCCAGTGCACCATTTCTCGTTTCTTCTCAACCCTTTGTTGCCGTTGACCACTCGAAAAGATCGACCAACTTTCCGTCTGCTCATCATCATCACGTGGCGCTGCCTCGTTCTTTTCCGATCAACCGCCAGAAAAGAAAACGAACAGTGCCTGCGCCGCTTGTCTGCAGCACTCCTCGTCAGTAGCGCCGGCCAGGCCTATTTCTCCACTGACTAGCCGCGATTCCACCCTGCTAGGGGCGTTCTTTCCTGTCCTCGCTGCTCACTGTCGCCTTCCTCGCCAAATCTCTCCTCACCTCTTTCTTGCCCGCCCACAAAGGTCCGCGGACAAAGGCCGAATTTTCTGGGCGCCAGTGCTAGATAGGGAAAGAGTGAGACACTCGCCCTTTGCGACTGCTGCAAAACGCAACCAAGGCAAGAAGACCGGTGGCTAAGCCGAAAAAACCAAAAGCTCAAGAAAACTACGGAGCAGTCACTGCAGAAGGAGAAATCCAAAACAAGACATCGCTATCTGTCTAATCTCTCCCTCCTCTCCCACCCCCCCTCTCTTCCCAACAGACGAGGCCATGACCTTCCGCACGTCATGTTGACTCGATCGGCCAATGCGTCCCCCATCATACACGGCTTCCACTATGCGCCCTCGCACCCGTCACCCGGCCACTCATCTCCCCGGAACTCGGCCGTTGCAGCACCTACTGCCGCGGCCGCCTCTGCAGCCCGGCGGCCGTCTTCTTCGTCGTCGCCGCTCGTAAACGGCGCATCTGCGTCGTTGCTGGCAAACGCTGCCTCCTCCAACACCAGCCTCAGTGACCGCGCCAGCACCAGCGCTCCGTCATCACCTGCGCTCTCCCACGCACCGTCATTCGCGTTCTCCCACCCTCCGACGCCCCTGGCCGCTCCGCTCGCCAGACCTCATCACCGAGCTCCTCCGTTGTCGCGTTCACCGCCACGATATGTGGCTGTAGACGCCGCTACCCAGTACTCGCCCATGGAGCCCTTTGATTATAACACCACGCACCGCCATCAACAACCTCCGTCCTCCGTCCTCCATTCCTCTGCCATCGCCGCCGCCGCCGCCGCCGCTGCTGCTCCTCCTCCTCCTCCTCTTTCATCGCATGCTCTTGACCCGTCGTCATCCTCCTCACGGCCTCCTTCAAAACAGTCCACACCGCGTGAGATACCACGCATACCCGGACCGGTGCCCATGGAGCCTGGTATCGAGCAGGGCGTCGACCACGCCACCACCAGTGCGGCTGCGGTGACCAATGGCGCGCGTCATACGCACAATGGCCGGCCCGCCCCCGGCGCCCCGGCAACGGTGCAGCCGGTAACTGCATCGACCACTGTGCCTGCTCCCGTGTCGGGGCCAGCATCTGCCACCTCGTCCACGTCGGCATCCGTCCCACCATCCGTATCGAGCGACCATACAGCCGTTGCGTCGTCTGTGGCGGATCCGCCTAGCGCCTCGTCTTCTGCCCCGTCACAGCAGCCATACACAACCTCTCCTCAGAAACGCCGGAGCTCACCGGCTCCTCCGACCCGCACTGGTCGTCTCCCATCACTTTCCGTCGCCGGCAGCCCACCAACTGCTGCAAAACGGGCTCGACCTGAAGCCGCGCCAGTCAAAATGCTCCCGGAGCAGTACGACCAGTGTCCTGTCGAAGACATGGTTGTGTTAATTGCCAACATGCTTGGCGAGCTGATCGAGACGAACGATGCCTTGGCCCTCAAGTCGGGCCATCTCACACGCTTCCACTCCAGGTAGGAGCTTTCCCTTGTGTCTCTCTCCATCCGCGTCCACAAGATGGCGACTCTTCTAACACGCTCTTTCTCTGTAGGACGCCTCCTGGAATCTCCGTGCTGGACTACCTGCACCGCCTGGCAAAACATGCCACGCTGATCCCCCCTCTCCTTTTGTCCATGGTGTACTACATCGACCGTCTCTGTGCAATGTACCCAGACTTTACGATCAACACCCTGACCGTCCATCGTTTCCTTATAACAGCGGCGACAGTGGCTGCCAAGGGCCTTTCCGACTCGTTCTGGAACAACTCGACCTATGCGCGCGTGGGCGGTGTGCGGGTCGCCGAGCTGAAGATGCTGGAGCTCGAGTTCCTGTATCGTCTCGAGTGGAAGATTGTCCCCAATCCCGAAGTGCTCGCCGCCTACTATCGCCCGCTCGTCGAGCGCTGCCCCGGCTATGCGCTGCCGTCCGACCACACCCCCTCGCGACACGAGCACGAGATGATCGATGACGATGATGCCGCCGCCAACGACGAAAACGGCAACGGCAACGACGACCCGGCCACCGGCAGTGCCGCGCCACACTCGACTGGTCACTACAGACAGAGCAGCACCACGCTGATCGGCGAAGACCTTGTCGTCTCTGGACTGACAAGGCAAACGAGTCGGTAAATTTAGAAGAGTACGCAAAAAAGAGCCACATATTGAGCTCATTGCACCCTTCGCCGACGAAGGAATAAAGGGGGGGAGGATGGCCATATATGACCTCCCGCACCTCCTTTACCTCACGCTCCCCCCCTAATGCCGATTCACTGCCATCTTCCAAGATCACGGAGTGTGGCTAGAGGACAAACGACTCCATTGGATCATTAATACCATGAGCTGAGCATGACACTAGACTAGATGTTCCCACACGTTCCACCCGGACATTGTGGTGGGATCAGAACGTTCGCCAAACCACCGGTACGCAATGGTGCATAGTATACGGGATAATGCACTGCTCGACAAAGCAGTACAAAGTAGCGTCAAAGAACAAACGATTGATGTTAGAGCAGGTTTTGGATGGGAAGCTTTTGATATTTTCTTCTCACCGTTGCATTTCTTGCCAATTGTTTGCTCTGCTTTATACATTTATTTTCGGGTTTAGAGGCGTGGATTCATAAAAGAGCAGTATCAATATCAAAAATGTTAATTTATTCATTGATAAAAAGCGAGCAGTGCAACTGTTTAGTGAGAGCATTGACTCGTGTTGATGTAAGAACAAATGTACGACATAAGGTGTAATATAACGAACGACGAAGTTGCTGCTGTAGCTGATCGCAAGCACAGCATCTTATCGCGCCTATAACAGCCAAAAAGTGGCTTTTCAGCGGGCTGATACCCACTACATTGGCGTCAGCAGCCTTCCACCATGCTAAATGTCATGTGTCACTTTAGCGCCTAATTGGCAGCTTCACCCTTTTGCGCAATTGCACTCTTTCCGAGTCTCGACTGGCCTCCTCCTTTCTTCTGTCTGCGCAACCACCTTCTGCGACACGGCCATTCTGCATCGTCTCTTGACAAACACGGCATCGGAGACCGTCGAACGTCGATTCTCGTCTCTCCAGTTGCTGCACGCCCTGCCGCCCGCCGATCCCGTTCCCCGACGACCACCCATTCGAAATCATGAAGGTCACCTCCCTCCTGTCCTGCGTCCTCGCCGGCGGCGCCCTCTCCGGGTCTGCCTTTGCGGCCAGCGGCCTCCAGGACAGCGATCCCAACCACGTTCGCGCTGCGTCTGTCTACATCCATCCCGTCGGCGCCGCCGCTTCAAAATCGCACGCGCCCGCGCTGCTCGCCGAGATCCGCTATGACATCCATGACCCGTCCACAGCCGAGGTCGTGGCCTACGAGCCACCCGAGGACGGTGCCGATGCCGGTGCCGATGCCGGTGCCGACGCCCAGGACGACGCAGGACGCCTCTACCGCGTCGGGCTCTACGACCCCAAGACCAAGCAGTGGCTCGCCGGTACCTCCGTCGCGGCCGCCAGCAACTTTGCCAAGGGCTACAGCCCACATTTTGTCTTGACGGTTGCGGCCCCGGCCGAGCTTACCTCGCAGTCGTCGTCGTCGTCGTCATCGTCGTCGGCGTGGTCCTATCTCGGTGTCAGCGTGCGCGGCCTGGCCATTGATGCCGGCGCGACGCGCGACTTTGGCCCTCAGGCGACAGTGGTGGTGGCGGGCAAGGGCGCGACGCCTGTGCTGAACCGGCCCGTGGTGCTGAGCACCGAGGGCAAGAAGGCGGAGCCCGCGGAAGAGAAGACGTTTTTGCAAAAGTATGCAGCCTTTCTATTCTCCCCCACTCTTGTATTTTTAAAGCCTTTTTTTTCTTTTGTCCAGAAGCTAACCTGACGACAGATACTGGTGGGTCATTGGTACAGTCGTCGTGCTGGCCGTCACGTCCGGCGGCGGCGGCGAGGAGTCGAAATAAGCGACACTCGTATCTGCATGGAAGAGAAAAGGAATGGCGCCCGCCATGCTCTTATGGATTAACACGCTCTATTGCGGGCAGACATGGCCATTCAGAGGTGGCTGTCTAAGTAACCCGACGGTGTTTCTGCCCGGTCTTTCCTGTGGCCAGTTTGCTATCGTTTTCCGATCAACGAGAACGCGAGACAAAATTCACACTTTTGGACATTCACGAGGACGTTGCAGAAGGGGATGGCCGGAAGGGCACAACCCTTTTGGAGCAGGTACAAGAAGCACTCTTGGGGTGGCGTGCATATTTGATTTGTGTACAATTAGACCAGCGTTTTTTTGTTTATCTTCTTTAATTCGCACACTGTACGACGTACACACGCACTCTTATTACCGGCGGCAATGCGAACTACCCCCAAGCTCTTGTTTACCTGCTCTGTACGTGGTGCGAGAGTGAGGGCAGAGTGAGGATCCCAATGGCTGGTATGCATGTATCCGGTACGACATTATTCTTAAAAGCAATGTATGTGACTAATACGGATTAGCGTGGTGCACATCCTCCTGTGACCCTCTCCCCTGTCTCCAAACAGCGTATGCGCACGCAAGGGGCGCGGTTTCCCCGAGGACAGGCAGCCTGGCCGGCCCCACAAACAAAATTCACAGCTCCCCTCGGTTGCTCCATGTCGTCCCGCCTTGGTTGTAGTTTCCCTCTGGAATAAATAAATGCGACAAAGCTTCCTTCCCAAACAACACTAAGTGCACCTGCACTTTCCCTTTCACATCTCTCCACACCTCTTTTGTTGCCAATCCCACCATTGCAACTTCCTCTTCTCTCTCCGCTATCTCCTACAAAACAATTTGAGCCAGTCCAACCTTTGCTATTATTGACAATGGCGACCAACGGCAACGGCGTTCAGGACCCCACCAGTGGCGCAGGCGCCCAGGCGGTGACGGATCCCACAGACTTCAAGGGCAAGGGCAAGGCCCCTGCGGCCGAGGACGACGACATGAAGGACGTCCACGACGACGACGAGGACGAGGATGATGACGAGGATGACGATGAGGAGGAGGAGGAGGCTGCTGACGTATGTTTCTTGCGTTTTCCCCTCCGATCGATTCGCACTGTCTCGTACGCTGCTGGACTATGCTAACCTTTTTCCTTACTACTTTAGGTCGACGACGAAGGTGAGAACCCGGTGATACTTCCTTGATTTTTTGTTGTTGTTGTAGACTATTTCCACCGGAAAAGACGGAGCTAACAGCAGTGATTCTGATCAGACGACGAGGACGCAAACCAGGTCATCGACCTTGACAACGTGATCGGCCGCCGCACGCGCGGTGTGGTCATTGACTACGCCAAGGCTGCAGCAGAGAACCCGGTCGAGGAGGACGAGGACGAAGAGGACGACGGCGACTTTGAGGAGCCGGACGACATGGACGAGGACTAAGCGGCGCCCGAAGAAGCGACAGCTTGGTCCGTAACCTCTGGGCCATATTCACGACAGCAAGAAGGATAACGAAGCATGATACGAAACGTGCAAGGGAACGCCAAAGGGAGGCGAATGGACAAGGGGCGATCGACCAGTATGCTGGACCTCGGGACGAGGGCCACCAGCTCTCACAACTGGAATACACATCTGCAAAAAAAAGGACAGCCATATACATTTATTTACATACAGGAAAACATGGGCGGTGAGGGAGTTCTGGCATCGTGGACAGGTAGCCCAACGACCAATACACTGATATGTTCGTCGGTGAACACCTATTACAGTTGCTTCTGGGTCCCCGTAGCTTGTTTTCGATCCTATGCTGGTACGCTGTGCGACTGGTTTGTTGACTTTTGTGGATGATTGTTGTGCGCCAGGGGCACGTGCGTCAACGGACAAAGCCATTGTGGCTGCTACGGCAGTGCAGCCCCAGCTCCGACAATATCGAGCTCTGCGTGGTTGTCTTGTATTGCTCTTTCTTGTAATAACCCCGTGTTTTGTAGAGCGCGAGGCGCCTGCCAGGCTGTTGTCACTATTGTAGATTATATTTAGGCCTTCAAAAGAACATCCGACATTCGCGGCCCCTTTTTCTGAGCTGCACGCATGTCTTTTGCGAGAAAAATGCAAAACAAATACATAGCATCTCGGCCGAGAAAGATGGATCTGACCGGTGTCTGCGGTGAATGCAGGGGTGATAGTTGCGGAGGCACCGGGTTGTTGAAGCTCAAAACCTTCAATTCTAAGTCGTAATGGCTTCGCAATGACCGATTTAGTGGCTTGGAAAGATTTTGTAAATGACCCTAATCGAATTCTTGGAGGCTCAAAAGGCAGTATAAGAATAACTGGATAGACCTGAGTAATTGCTTAAATTGCTCCTGTTCAGGGGGGAAGGCCCTACAACCCACGCCTAATGTTAGAGCACTAACAAAAAGAGCCACAGGCAGATAACGCCACCTATGGAGTCACTTGTTCCGGTGCAGATCCTCCCCACCACAGCTGTCGGTCATTGGTGACGCCTTCCGTTTTCTCCAAATTACACTCCTTCCTGGCGAACCATTACCGCCACTGAAGTACCTGGTACTAACGAGCGGCAGGTGCAACTGACCCATCCTTCCTTTTGACGACACCTGTCAACCCCCTTTACAGATCTAGATCGCTTTTGCCTCTTCTCCTTTTTCATTCTTTTCCTTTCGCTCTTCTACCTGTTCTCTCCAACAAAAACCACCTCCCACACACTTACAGCCGCCAAGATGGCATCATCTAGGTAAGCATCTTATTCTTGTGCTCGTCTTCCAGAGTCACCAGCCCTGAGGTGTAGCGGCAACCAGCGGCAGAGAGAAGCGCCAAGCTTGGCAAGGAAAATGGCAGAAGAAACACCATTCCCGCGACGTCGCCAACAACAATGAGCCACCGTGGCCGCTTTCGGACTCGACGATAACCGGGTACGCCGCGACGCGATGCGAAGCATCACATTCCTACGATTTTACAAATACCTGGCCCTACAAAGACCACAGTTGTGCCGCTGTTGGATCTATTCGGATCGACAGAATTATTTTGCGACACCGACAATGCGACACGCGACACCTGCAGCGACGTCACTGTCGTCCCAACCCTTCGATCTTTGCCCTCGACGCCCATCGGTGATGAACTTTACAACCCAGTAATGTGCGACGAGGTTGCGTATCGAATATACACCACGCCACTCCCAATACCGAACACACCGCAACCTTTTGTGCCGCTTCTACTTCCGCCTCGACCGTCTCACTGATGTGTTGAAGACCTGGTCGCTTGCTCTTACTCGCACTCTCTTTGCTGTCCCTGCTAACATCTGCCCTCCTCCAGGTTTGGCAGCTCAAATTTACACCAGCGCGACCCGCGCAGTGCCCTCTTTGAGGGTTACACGGGCCCCGGTGCCGACGCCAGCGCCAACCGACGCAACATGAACGCAAGCCCGAGTCGTTTTGGCACACCAGGAAGCAGCCCTTCCGGCTATGGCTATGGCTATCCGGGTGGCAATGGCAACGGCAATGGCCTGGCACCGCAAAACGGCGGCTACCGGTCGGCAACACCAAATAAGCGAGGCCAGTACAGCGATGCCGTACTGAACGAGCTTGAAAGCCAAAACGACTCACAAATCGAGGGGATCCTTGGCAAGGTTCGCGTATTAAAAGATGTACGTTGACACTGCGTATGGTCCTCGTCTACCGCGGGAACGGGTTTGCTGACATAGGACTAGATGACCGTCGCCATTGGGGAAGAGATTCGCGAATCGTCGGCACTCGCCGAGAAGATGAACGACACATTCGATGCAACACGCGTGCGCCTGCGCGGAACGATGAACCGCATGCTAGTAATGGCTGAGCGCACCGGTATTAGCTGGCGCATTTGGCTTGGCTTTTTTTTCTTCGTTGGCCTTCTGTTCACCTATGTGTGGCTGTTCTAAGAGGGAGTCTATTCCTTATCACGACGACAAAAACTTATATCGCCACGCTACCGTCAAACAACACAAGACGGAAACGAGGAAAACGACGCAGGGATTGAGAGTGGCATCTTCGGGAGAGGGCGAGGTGAAAAATGTTGCTTTTTCTATTGGAATCTTTCCTGCATTAGAAACGGCGTTTACTTGTTTTTTTTTATTTCATTTTTGTTTTATCTGGAACAGCAAAGGGAACGGGATATATGGCTTTGTTCTCGCCTTCACCTTGCTTTTTAAATGTATATGGGCTGGGTCCTGGAGACGCTTGTTCTGAATTTCAAGCTTGGTCTATCGGTTTACTGTATCCCTTATTGTGATCGCCTGGGATATACATCGTACTGTGCTAAAAAACTTCGCTTCTATTTTGATGCAGACGCAACAGTTTCGGTCAAGACTCGGGCTATCCATGAAATGCTGTATTGCTCTTGCTAGTTTTATTTTGTAACCATGTCGAAGAAGTGAAGACTCCTGGGTATTCCATAATGCCTTGATGATGCTCGTATAAAATAGAATTAAAACAAAAAAATAAGCACCCACGCACGCCCTGCCATCGCTGTACCAATTACAGGCGCCGTACTTGTGGACTGCTTCCAAAGGTACTGCTGCCATCCTGCGACAGGAGACTGCTAATATCCATGCTGTTGCGGTCGCTTCGCGTCAGGCTACCGCGGTACTGCTGACGGTGGCGGTTGCCGCTCGCAGTGACGCCAGATATATGGCCGTGCCCCATGCCGCCCATGCCAACACCGCTCGATCTAGGAGCGGCCATGCTGCTGCTGCCGGACGCGGCGCCAGCCAGCGCCAAGAAACTTTGGTGCGGCAGGTGGCCGTCGCCATGGTCATCGTCGCCACCGCCAACCACACTGCTACTGAGCTCGGCTTCGGTGTCGGTGTGCTCGTATCCGCCGTCACCAAAGGCGCTGAGGTCCATGGCACCATTGTCGTCGCCATCAAGATCCGCATCCACGTCCATCTCGAGGCCACTGACCCCCCCGTCGTCGCCGTCCTGCTCAAACCCGGCGTCGTTGTCCTGGTGGATGTGATCGTCGATGAAGCTGCTGCTGTTGGCATGGCCGCGCGCAATGTTGTTGTTGTTGTTATTGTCCTCCGTGCGCAGGTGGCGGCGGCGCTGTCGCTGCTGTTGCGGTTGTCGGTGGTGCGACGCGGCAGCACCAGGGCTGCTCATTTCGCGCACCAAGTCGTCCTCCTGCAGCATCTGTTCCTGGTCCTCCTCGTCCAGGTCGTCTTCATCGCCATACAAGCCCATGCCCATACTCAAACCGACTCCCGACAGCCGGGGATGGGCTCGCATGGCGCGCATTCGGTCTTCCGCAGCGCGCATTTGGCGCATTTCGCGGCGCTCAGCGGCTCGCGCCTGTGCCTGCGCATGCTGTTCCTCGAGCGAACGTACAGGTGTATCGGCTGTCATAGCAGCGGCTGCCGGTGTAGACACGTAGACGCCCTGCCGCGCTTGCTGCTGACTGCTGCCGTGTGTGTAGTGCTGGGGCGGATCCGCCTCGGCGTCATCCTGACTCAGGTCGGCGATACCTGCACCAGCACCAGAACCTGCAGCTATGCTCTCGTTGCCATTGTCGTTTTCGACATGGATCCTTGGCCGCCCGCCGCCGTCGCCCTCGTCGTCCTCATCGTCTTCATCCTCTTCTTCATCGTCTTCGTCGCCAGAAGAGCTGGCGAACGGGTCGTCTCCATCATCGTTGTTTCCGAAGCTGAAGTCTTCCGCGTCGGCGTCGGGGACCTCGTTGTCTAGATCCAGCTCGCCATCCTCATCCATCATATCCGCCTCCATGGAAGCGACAGCAGCCGCGGCATCGTCCCCGTCGACACCCATGAGCTCCGTCATCCCAGCAGGGTCGCCTGTGAGATCGCCACCTTCACCCGCCCCGCCGTCCTCCAGTGCGGTGCCGTCTCCACCATCCAGAGCGGCTGCTTCCGCCTGTGCGAGCTGCTGCGCCAATTCTTCTCGCCGCTCGGCCTCGGCCTGCTCCTCTTGCTCGCGGCACTCCTCGCGGATCTGGAAGAGTGTCTTGGCCACGCCAGGCGGCTTGAGCCACGTGGAGCCAAAGTTGGCAATGTGTTGTTTCCGGCGATCCTGATACGTCTTTTCGGCTTCGAGGCGGGGGAGTGAGTTGCGGTCATACACAATGTAGCGGTTGCTGATCTGATGACGGGGATAGGCGTTCTGGCCAGGGTTGTAGGGACCGCCTTGCTGCTGCTGCTGTTGCTGTTGGTGGTGGTGATGCTGGTTTAGGTGGTGGTTGAGGTGGCCGCCCCGACGCCCCGGCGCGACAGACAACCCCGGATCTCCACCGCCGAGGTAAGCATCGTCAGTTCCATAGTATGACGTGCTGTGGCCGTTGCTGGAGAGAAGGGCCTGCACGGGAAACAGAAGTCAGCAAAGCCGTCGATTGTGCACCACCTTCGATATATGCGTCCGCGTAGACTTACATTGTACGCCGAAAAGTCGAGGACAAAGGAGCCCATGTTCGCAACGACCAGCTTGGGCGGGATGCGGACTCCCTGGCGCCGGGGATGATCAATTCGTCTTCCTTTTGGTCGTGGTCCTTGTCCGTGGCCAGTTTTGCGCAGCCTCGTGCGAGCGGGAAACTAGGCTAGGTGCAAAGAGAAAATCGCGACTCTTGTGTTCATTGGGCCTGGGTCCATGGCACGTACGTGATGCAGAGAAAACTGACAGGATGACGTCGTCGAGGGGTTCGCCCAAATACGCGTTTTCGTGATGCCAGGACCCAACGGCGATTGTTCGTTGTTGGATGCCCAGCGCGTTTTAGTTCGCCTGTTTTGCTCACCGCCCGCCAGGGCAACACCGAACAGCAGGAAGGACCAGGCCCAGGGGCGCCACTTCCCTCTGGCACTTCAACTCACCTAACCCCCGCAAGTGGTCCGTGCACAGAGACAAGCCGCGCGTTTAGCGCTAAACCTGCCAGGTAGAGGCAGGCAGAGCTTACAGAGCTGATTGGCCAGACCTGCGAGCAACATAGGAGCCTGTGAGACAGGGACCAAGGACCCCCGAAGCTGCCTGAAGAGTGCTGGAGTGCTCCTAGTTAACTCCACAGATGGTTTTCCATTGTTGTATCGTCTCGTCAGCCCTGAAAATCGAGTACCATCTGTCGTTATCTCCCCTCTTTTGAGCGGCTTGAACCGTGTGCAATGTCTATTGTCTTTTGCATTTGCGTCTTGGAAGAGCAAAATATAATTGCGGGTACAAGGCACGGGAACGATCGGTGACCATTTCATGCACCGAGAATTGCCAACAGAACAGGAGAACTTGGTCTTCAAGGAGACATCACCATGCAAGAGATCGTATTATGACTGGGCTGTCTTTGGGAGCAACATCTCGGGCTTCCAAATGGCCTCGGTAATTGGCCCCATGCTTCCAGTGCTGTATTGCACTGCATGAAAGAGGCAAGACAAAATAAATGCACGTTGATGATTGTCTCCTGTTTGTGAGATATTTCGTGTGCCAGAGGCTTGCTTTGGATATGGATGTCCGCCGTACTCTTTGTGGCTGTCTTTTTCTTTTATGTATCTCAATTTCATTTTCGTCGGTCCTCCGTTTGCTCCTCTGGCAAATCAAAACGAGGACGGGGTTCGGGCTTCTTGAGCGATTTTCATTTTGTATCTTACGGAGTATGTGACACTTTTGTTATTCGGGACTCATCATCCAGCATTCATCGTAATACGGTTAGTGTTGTTTCTTTCAACTCCGCCGGGCACCGGGGACCGAAAGACGACTGCACCCTCTGTCGATTTGAAATTGGCTGGCCGCGGTAGGCGTTCATATTCTCGTGGGCTGAGCCCTGTCGCTTTCTTCCCCATCTTCCCCTTCTTTTGCTCGTCTTTTAAAGATGTTTCGGGGGTTCGGTAAGCAGCGAAACGGGGCAGGTGAATTTTCGTGAGGTAATAGCGAGGTTGCTTTGGTAGTATTTACTTCCCCTGAACGTGGAATGAACCATTCGACAGTCAACACATATTTTGCCATGAAGTTCGTCCTGGTGTGCGCTGTGGCCCTTTTCCGTAGTTACTCCGCAATGGTTCGTTTCCAGGCCCCATCTTGAAACAACTGAGTAGGAGTTGACCTGTCATTTTCAGAAATATAGAGGCGGTCCTGGTCCGCTAATCCGTTTTCCTCTAAGGAGACACGGTTATGTGGCCTGGGACCGCACCTGTTTGCGGCGTAACCTTACATCCGGGGAAAGTAGGAAGACACCGACAGCCTGTGCTCGGTCATACAGTTTCTTCACGTCTAGGGGCATTTACTCAGTATTACAGGGCGGTCGAGAAGTACCAATAGTGACGCAGCTAACGAATGGGACAAAGACACGCAGAATGCTAAACCTCTTCTGTTGATGTTGTTTGTCTCACAACATGGTTCTGGCCTGACATTAGGGCTTCGAAGGGGACATATTTCAACATACACGGCCGTGTCAGTTTTATATTATTCCTTTGCGTGTGGGTTGAAAAATGTGAGTGGTTCTAGTTTCTTGCCTTGAAAGCTAGGGAATGTAGGAGGAACAAGATGAGAAGAATAATGAATAAAAAACAGAGGCTGTCATTTTTTTGTTGCCGATTTCGGCCAATTTCTTTTCTTAGTGTAAACATATGTGGCGCGCCATCGCCGCTGCGGAATCCCCACTCTGCAGCGTAAAAAAGAGAAAGGGACGACAACAGTGTTGTTGCGGATGATTCCGGAAGAGGCTTGCAGCTACTGGACAATGGACAACACAATTGAACCTGCGTAAACGAAGACCCTGCCTTTTCGTCTAAACTCCCCTACGAGACACATGCTGAACGCCGATTGTTGCCTAACGACGCAGGATGTTTTCGATTAGCATTTTCAATGTGTCCATCCTTAGGTCTTGTCACTCATTAGCTCGCACAAAACATTGTGCGTAAAACGTTCGCGTAGCAAAATTGCCTGTTCAAAACCTGCCCGACGGCGTACGTCCAACTGCGCATGGCGCCGTCCGCCCGCCCGCCAGCTCCCGTTCCATGCTTTTCGCCTGCCGTTCCTGCCTGTATTTGTTGGACATGGCCGTCCTACAAGTGCACTGGAAGGCCCGTTCCTTCCCACCTGCCTTTGAACAGGCTCTGGCTTGTGAGAACGGCGTCTCTTTACCCCAAATCTCCTATTGTATTGTATTTTGCGCACCCGATTGGTAACGTGTCCCGTCTCCCTCACCTCGAGGGTGTACACGGGCTGACTGTGGGACAGCTGCATGCAGAGGCCATCACGAGTTTCCTTGCCATTCTCAGCCTGCGGTGAGGGTCTCGTCGACCACATTCGGCCACGGAAGTGATACATCGTATGCAACCCCCACACAAACACATGCCTGGCGGAGCAGTGACTGCATGCATGGGAGATTCTGAACTGCGCAATGAACTGCAATATGTAGTAGGGGGTCGGTGGTGGCTGCTCAAATGCAATGCAGGCGAGATCAGTGTCGCTCCTTCCCTGCTGGCATTTCCGAGGGAAGGAAGGTCCGAGTGGTGGTCCATTGTTTTGCGAAGAGTGTGCCTTTTTTGCAGTAGTGGGGACAAACATGCAGGGAGCGACGTACGACAGTCCTGAGTATGGCCAACAATCAACATCCTCGGTCGTATTTTATTTTTCTGTTTAGTGCTGCCGTCCAGTGTCATCGCAAAACGACAGGATACAGCCAGGTATTTACTGGCCGTTAGCCCGCCCCTCCTCTTCCTACCCCGAGGCACCAAATCGTCTGTGCGTCGGGACAGATCTGCAATAGGGCGCTACAGAAGTGTGGCCTGCCAACCCCTGCCATGGGATTAGTTGACAAGTCGAAAATCGAACAAAAAACTTGAGGCCAAGAAGTCCTGTCGGCACCGTCGTGAACCTGCTTTTCGTAAACTCGGCGCTTTTTGGCTCCCCATTAAGATGACTTTAGTGGGTTCCTGCCTGCAGCAGAGCGCCCAGTGGGCTCAAAGGACGCTGTAACCCCCACATAGCTCGCTGTCATTCTCGCTCTCTTTTTGCGCAAAAGGTACCTACAGCGGATGGGCCTGGCCCGTAGCTCTTTTTCTTCCATCTGTCCCTTATGCACCCCCCCTCCTTTCCTACTCAGTAGCTTATCTTCCAGTTGGCGGCGCTGTTTGTAGATGGCGCGGCACCAGAGGAAAGCCGATGCACCCCCCTCCCCCCATTTCCTTGGCTCGAGATAAGAAAGAAGGCTGCATGGCTCCCCAAATTCTTGTCGCTGATTGGCTGATTCTTGCAATTTTCTGTTGATGATTCTTTTAACAATCGACAACTGACGTATCAACGTGCAGCAGACGACGGTGGTTTGTGAGACGAGACGAGGCCCTAAGCTCACTGACCACCAATACCGCCCTATTTTCTCATACCCTGCTCCTCGCCTCGCCTCTCACTTCTTTTGCTACCCTTTGCATTTGTTCCAACCAACCCCAACGTTCCACTGCAGCACCGCTGCACGAAACTCAGAATCTGGTTGTGTCATTGGTCAGCCTCCTTTCCCGTTGTCGACAGTATTGGGCGATGAAAACTAGGGTTCTTTTGTCGGGTATGTGGTTGGTCGAGGCTGTCAGCAAAGTGGTACGACAGGCTAGACAAAAGAAAAAGGTCGAGTTTGGGGACCCACGTTGGAGCAAAAATGGCGGCTCTTTCATGAGATTCATGTCGCATGTCTCACACCGACGCCCGAGGAACCAGAGGACACACATTGCACGCACTACCGGAATTAAGACCTGTCGACGAACCTCTGGCACTTGTTTTGTCGTTACCGTCTCCCAGGCCCGACGGGAAGACGGAGAAATGTCTCAAAAATGTGACTTGGGTAGCGCCTTGTCCCCTAGCACAGAAACATACTCGGTAGCGTTGTGCTTACGCCGAGAGAACTTGGAAGAGTTGAAAGTGGAACAGAGCCTGCCGCCGGCCACCAACCAATGCTGATTTCGTCCCGCTGTCCAGTCCAGTCGCCGTGCTGCCGTAACCACGCAAATTCCCTAAAATCCGCGCCGACAACTACGTGGCTTCAGTCTCGCAGGTGAAATACGCGAGAGTAGCGTTGAAAGACTATCTCTTCTTTGGCCCACAGTTTACTTTCGGACGTACTCGTCTCGTTTTCGTCTCTGTTTCGTCCATCTCATTGCTAAGATACCAGCACTAAAAAAACGGAGTAGAGAGATGGTCCGCGGAGGCTGGCTCCTGGCGACCGAGTAAATTCATGCAAGAGAGGCGACATCGGCAGCCTTTTTTTTCGCTTGCCTTTGAAAAGCAGCAAGGGTGATTGGTTGGCAATACTTTATGGAAAACAAACAAGGCGTCGGGATCCAAGGCCAAAAAAGCCCTTCTGGCATTTTGTCGCCCCCCAAACTTGCTCCTCTGTTGAAAAAGAGAAGAATTTCCTTTTTGGGAGGTCTGTGTTGGTGGCAGCGAATAGAACGCTGCGGTGTGCATGCAGCTCCCCTGCCGAGCCCTCATCTTTTTATTCCTGCCAGCCTGCGGCTGGGTCGTGCAGCTCTCTACAACACACATTCTCGAGACAACTCTCTATTTTGGTTCCCTCCCCTGTCAATTTCCCCAAACGGTGTGGGGTATTTTAGGTGTGCTGAAAGGGAGGGGCATGATGCAGAGAAGAAGAAGACCAAAAAAAAAATCTTAAGTAGGAGCTGCCATTTTCCTCTCTCGACCTCTTTTTAATTTGTTGTTTTTGTACGGCGGCCCTCACAATTTTAGGATTCCCTCCTGCTGACTAGTAATATGACACAAATATTAAGACAAGCATTTCTTGGCGGGATCGCAGACCCTCCGGCACATTTTGGCCTTTGTATGTCTTTGCTGATCTCTTGCCAATGTTCGGGCACAGCATACCAAGCCCTGTACGTGCGGTGTTCTCCTATGGTCTCACTCGAAGAGCCGGGCACGGTTACGTCCATCACCGTATTTTCGATCAATTACAAGCCGTACGTACGCGTGCCTAAGCAGCGAGTTGCCGCCAATGTCCCCTCTCCTGCACGTCGTGATGCGTGTTTATTTATGACATAACCCAGTGGTATTGGCCACACGCAAGGTTTAAGGCTTCGTTGCCTAGCCCATGCCCAGTATCCTTGCATTTTCTTATTCTGTTGACCTTTTTCCTCGTTGGGCGCTCAAGGTGCATGCATCTGTGCTCCATCAAGCCGCTGCATGGCGTCAGTATGGCCCAATCTAGCACGTCGCCCGCCCATCACTCCACAAAATACACCCCCTCGCGGGCTTTGATTCTCTCGTGTCCCTTGTTTCGTGTGCTCTGCCCCGTCCAGTTGAAGTAACCTGCCTGATCTGCTCCGCGGTCGGAAAAGGGCCCTTGCCTCTCACACAATTTCACTACCGTGGTAAGTTAACACTCAGCTGACCTCTGCACGACTGCCCAGACAACCTGTTACGGAAGAGATGAAGGCAATCACAACGATCACATGCCCACTCGTCTCTCCCTCTGTAGACATCACGCATTTGGGCGTTCGTCCGGCGTCTCTGCGGACCACTTGTTTCTGAAAAAAATGGCAAACTACTTCATACAATAGTGTCACTTGGGGCGCGCTGGTGTGTTTTATGAAATGCCCTGGCCGTTTTGGCACAGCCTGGCTCCGCGGACCTGGCGGTTGGTCGCTTCCTGCTGCCGACTTACACCAAGCTAGTGCGGATCACGGTCGGTTGGTAGGGACAAACAAAAAGGAAAAGGAGTCGTGAGTCGTGAGTCGAGAGTCGTTGTCAGTTTTCGTACGTCGTTAGCGTCTCTCCACCCGGTTGTTTCGCTCTTTCCCCCACTCTTAGCGTTGGCCTCGTTCGCCTCACAGCGCCTTCCACATGCTTTTTGCCTTATTTCTGCACTCTAACTTTTTATTTTTCGTTACCAAAATATTGGCCGCCGCCGATTTTATCAATTCCCAGTCTCTGACTCGCCAGCGACCTCGTGTCTGTAGCCTCCACCTACAGCCCTCTCCGACGAGCTAAAACCCTGCTCCGACACCGTTCGACCTGAGAGGACAGACCAATCCCGTCCCACCAAATTGGCCCATCCATCTAAATCGTCCTCTTTCGCTCGTTCCCTCGTTCCCTCATAGTCTCTCCTTCACTCATTGCCTTCCGAGCGAGAGAACCCCCATCTATCTCTGCACACCATCCCGGCAAGCCAGCCCATTTCGTAGTCTAGCTGGAGCGTGCCTTCGTCCGTTCGGAGAGCAGCTCCCTAACGCTCGCGTTCTTTCCCTCGTACACCCGCCCAAAACTGCGTGTTGGCGGTCCATCCCATATAAGCCGCTCGTTCACCCCCTTCGCCCCCCCTTTCAAACTGTTTTCCCTTTCTTCTTCTTCTTTTTTTCTTCTCTTCTCTTCTTCTTCCTTTCCTCCCCCCGTTTATTTACCTTTTCCCCCTTCGCCAGCTTTTCCCAGCCTGCTTCCTGCATTCTGCTTTTGCTGTGTGATTTTATACCCAATTCGGAAATATCGTGATACCAACGTCTACGAACAAATCCCCGTCCTGCCGCATTTTTGCCGCCCTCCAAAAGCGTTTGTTTTCTCGTCGTTCGACGACCCATAAAAAGGTAAGTCTCTATGTGTGAAGTAGGGCATCAAACGGGCTTCGAACAGCACTCGCCAATTCGTGAAGTGCTTTGCCTTCCTTTTTCTCTTCCCTCGCATCCCCATTTTCACCACCTCCACCGTTCATTTTTTTTGTACGCGGAAGAAGACTTGAAGACGACGGGGCGCACTCCGAGCCTCAGTATGCAACTGGCTGGCTCGCGAGAGCATGGTCCGCGTGGCTTTGCAGCCATGCCGCCTCACGACGCTCATACGGCCAGTCTCCGTCTGTCGTCGCCGCGCAGCGACGAGAGAGCGCAAATCGTCAAGCCGTGGGGGACTACGCCAGACCACCCACAGAACTCCGCTCTGACGAACGATACACGGGCTGAGTGACGAACTGGGAACTGGGGACGCACCGCAGAAACGAGCGCATGTGATCCGGCCACCGGAGACGTGACGACTGCACACGACTGCACCAAGTTTGTGGCGTGCGCAATGCAGCGAATGCGCCGCCTGGGGCAGCGCAACGCCCATCACCAGGTCCGGTGATTCCCGGGGGAGCAAACGAGCAACACAATCGAGCCGAACTGGCCACCAAAGCACACAAAATCGCAACGGAGACACAACAGTGAGACGCACGCACACTCGCGCGAATATCTCCCAACCATGGCAGCACAGACAGCACACCAAAGAAGCAAGCACGAAACCCTCGCTTCCACACATCCCGGCTGCTCCTCAGCACCAAATCTCGCCTAGAACGTGCTGCGTGCGCCTCCCCTCAGCGCCTCCCCTCGTGACCAGGCGCAGACGGAAAAGAATCGTCCCCATTCTTCCCCCAATTTATTGGCAGGGGTTGACATGGGCGCGGATTTGTGGCTAGCCCTGTTTCGCTGTTCTTCTGTCTCGTTTTTTCGCTCGGAAAATACCACCCCACCTCCATCTCTCTCATGTCGCATTTCTCTCACAAGGCCAATGATGTCAGTCTCATTGGGCCTTTTGTGGGGGAGTTGTGTTATTTGGAGATCGCAGAGGATGAGGGCAGCTCTTTCCTTGCCAGCCTGCGTTCTTTCCGCGCGGTCGCATTTCAAAAGACGCTGGTGCTTTCCGCATTTGGGGACTTGCCGCACCTGCCATTGGCTGTCGTCATAATCACAGCCTGCAGTTTCCACGTCTGCCGACGACCAGACGAAAGGAAAGAGCGAAGAACGATCAAAAGCATCACGAAAAAAAGGGGGAACAAAGACTGTCCTTGTCTTTTCTCAATTGCTTCATTTCGCCTCGCTTTTGACTCCTCCCTCCCGCCGCCTCTCTTTTCGTGGCGCTATCCCCATAGCTTTAGTTTCCCGAAACCAACAATCACCAGCTTCTTTTACCAAGGCTGTCAGGGCTGCCCCCCTCTCTACCGTTTGGCCCGAAAACAACAGCACCTCCAAATCGCACCAAATCGCACCAAAACGCTTGCTGCTGACTCCGGCCCCAAAGAGGTCGTGAGCTACGAAGCTTGTGCTCTCTGGCCGCTCTTTGTTCGCCACGGGCATGGGAAATGGGAATTTACACGCCCTGCCATTGGCCAGTCCCCCGTCTCGCTCTGTCCCGTGGCCTTGAGCTGGAGATGTTGCCTTTCTCGCTTGACCTTTCGTCGCTGTTCAGTCTTCTTCCGGCTTTTTCTCTTCTGCGTTCCTCTGCTCTCTTTTCACTTTTCCTCTTGCATCTTCTCCGCTCCGCTTCCTACAAATTCACCGACTTCCCTCGTCACTGTCGACGTTGTCTATTTCCCCCAAACTATCGCCTTATCATCCATTCACATTGCATATTCACAGCTGCTTGTTACCCCCACATCAAAACCACTATCTGCTATCAGCTCCCTCCGTGCGACTCACCAATCACCTCGCTTTTCTGTTCCTCGCGCACTTTGCTGTTCTGCTGTTCCTGGAGACTCGAGTTCTTATATAGTCTCAAGAACTATTTTGCGAGGATCTCGTTTTCTTTTCTTCTCTTTCTTTCCTACCATTGGTGCCCTTATATTAAAACCTCAACTTGACAGATTAAAAAACTTGTTTTCGGTCTGAGCTGCGTTCCCAGCTTCCGAGGCCACCGACCCCCTTCCCTTCCTAACGACAATCGCCCCCGCCGCTTCCCGGTTTTAAAACAAACGGCTTGCCTAGCATGGGCGTGACGGCCGATTTCGACGACCGGAAAATCAACGACGCCAACGAAGAGAAGTACACTCCCTATGAGTACCAGACGGAGAACAATGGCTCTTGGGCCGGTGCTCTGCCGGTGAAGCAGTAAGTTTTTGGCTGCGTGTGCTGCTGTGTATAATTTTGTGCTCCGACAAGGCGAAAAGCCAGACAGACCACGCTCACTTTGCTAACCATTTCGCAGGGGTCTGTACGATCCCAACCTTGAGAAAGATGCCTGCGGTGTCGGTTTCGCCTGCCACATTAAGGGCGTGCCGAGCCACAAGATCGTCAGCGATGCTCGCAACCTGCTGTGCAACATGACCCATCGTGGCGCCGTGGGTTCGGATGCTCGCGATGGTGACGGCGCCGGTGTCATGACCTCCATCCCTCACAAGTTCTTTGTCAAGAACTTTGAGCGCGAGGTAAACATCGTGCTGCCACCCCCTGGCCAGTACGCCGTCGGCAACTTGTTCTTCAAGCCCGACACGGAGACGCTGCAAGAGTCCAAGCGGCAGTTGGAAGACATTGCCGAGTCCCTGGGCCTGCGTGTCCTCGGCTGGCGCCAGCCGCCTGTGGACTCCACCCTGCTCGGCCCTGCTGCCAAGTCGCGCGAGCCCATCATTCTGCAGCCGTTCGTCGTCCTGCAGTCGGCCTACGGCACGGGCGTGACGCCCGCCTCGACCGATGCGGAGACGTTCGACGAGCGCCAGTTCGAGCGCCAGCTGTTCGTCCTGCGCAAGCGTGCCACGCACACCATTGGCCTGCACAACTGGTTCTATCTCTGCTCCCTGTCCAACAAGAACATTGTCTACAAGGGTCAGCTTGCCCCCATTCAGGTCTACCAGTACTACCACGATCTCGTCAACGCCGACTACGAGGCGCACTTTGCACTCGTCCACTCGCGCTTCTCTACCAACACGTTCCCCTCCTGGGACCGTGCGCAGCCCCTGCGCTGGGCCGCCCACAACGGTGAAATCAACACCCTGCGCGGTAACAAGAACTGGATGCGTGCCCGTGAGGGTGTCATGCAGTCTGATATCTTTGGCGAGGAGCTTGAGCAGTTGTACCCCGTCGTAGAGGACGGCGGCTCCGACTCCGCTGCCTTTGACAACGTCCTGGAGCTGCTGACCATCAACGGCGTGCTCTCGCTGCCCGAGGCTGTCATGCTCATGGTCCCCGAGGCCTGGCAGGGCAACGCGCACATGGACCCCAAGAAGGCCGCATTCTACGAGTGGGCCGCCTGCCAGATGGAGCCCTGGGACGGCCCTGCCCTGTTCACCTTCGCCGACGGCCGCTACTGCGGTGCCAACCTCGACCGCAACGGCCTGCGCCCCTGCCGTTACTACATCATGGACGACGACCGCATCATCTGCGCGTCCGAGGTCGGCACCATCCCCGTCGACCCGGAGCGGGTTCTGACCAAGGGCCGTCTGCAGCCCGGCCGCATGCTGCTCGTCGACACCCACGCTGGTCGCCTGATCGACGACAAGGAGCTCAAGGAGGCCGTCTCGAGCCGCCAGGACTTCCGCTCTTGGATCGACAAGGAGCTCATCACCCTCCCTGCCGTGCTCCAAAAGTTCGAGGATGACAAGACCGTCGCGCTGGCTCCCAAGCCTACCGACGCCAGCGTTCAGACCGACCCCTTCCTGCAGGCGTTTGGCTACACCTACGAGCAGGTCAGCCTGTTGCTGGCTCCCATGGCCTCGGACGAGAAGGAGGCCCTCGGTTCCATGGGCAACGACGCGCCGCTTGCCTGTCTCGCGGACGCGCCCCGCCTCCTGTACGAGTACTTCCGCCAGCTGTTCGCACAGGTCACGAACCCTCCCATCGACCCCATTCGCGAGTCCATTGTCATGTCGCTGGAGTGCTACGTCGGCCCCCAGGGAAACCTGCTCGAGATGGATGCGTCGCAGTGCGGCCGTCTGCTGCTGCCCAGCCCCATCCTCTCCATCCCCGAATTCAACTCGATCAAGAACATTGCCAAGCAGTTCCCTGCCTGGACCGTCAAGACCATCGACCTGACGTTCCCCAAGAGCGAGGGTGTGGACGGCTACATCCGTCACCTCGACGAGATCTGCAAGGAGGCCACTACCGCCATCGAGAACCACGACCGCGTCATTGTTCTGTCCGACCGCAACACGTCGGCTGACCGCGTGCCCGTCTCGGCCCTGCTCGCCTCTGGTATGGTCCACCACCACCTTGTCAGCAACAAGTGGCGCTCGCTGGCTGCCATTGTTGTCGAGACCGCCGAGGCTCGCGAGGTGCACCACATGTGCGTGCTCCTCGGCTACGGCGCCGATGCCATCAACCCCTACCTTGCCATGGAATGCATTGTCAAGCTCAACCGTGAGAAGCTGCTCAAGGTCAAGCTCAGTGACGATCAGCTCATCCAGAACTACAAGCACTCCTGTGACGGTGGTATCCTCAAGGTCATGAGCAAGATGGGTATCTCGACCCTGGCCAGTTACAAGGGTGCCCAGATCTTTGAGGCCCTTGGCGTGGACGACGAGGTGGTCGACCGCTGCTTCAAGGGTACCGCCACCCGCATCAAGGGTGTCACCTTCAGCCTCATTGCCGAGGACGCTTTCCGCTTCCACGAGCGCGGTTTCCCCTCACGCCAGACCACCCTCATTCCTGGTCTGACCGAGTCCGGCGAGTACCACTGGCGCGACGGCGGCGAGGCTCACATCAACGACCCGACCTCCATTGCCAACATCCAGGATGCCGTCCGCACCAAGAACGACAAGTCCTACGAGGCCTACTCGCGCGCCGAGTACGAGTCGATCAAGTCGTGCACGCTGCGCGGCATGCTCGACTTCAAGTTCGACGAATGCACGCCCGTCCCCATCGACCAGGTCGAGCCCTGGACCGAGATTGTGCGCCGTTTCTGCACGGGAGCCATGTCCTACGGATCCATCTCCATGGAGTCGCACTCGACGCTCGCCATCGCCATGAACCGTCTCGGCGGCAAGTCCAACACGGGCGAGGGTGGCGAGGACCCGGAGCGCTCCCAGGTCATGGACAACGGAGACACGATGCGCTCGGCCATCAAGCAGGTCGCGTCCGGCCGCTTCGGTGTCACCTCGGCGTACCTGGCCGATTCGGATGAGCTCCAGATTAAGATGGCCCAGGGCGCCAAGCCCGGTGAGGGCGGTGAGCTGCCCGGCCACAAGGTCACCAAGTCGATTGCCCGCACGCGTCATTCGACCCCCGGTGTCGGTCTCATTTCGCCCCCGCCACACCACGACATCTACTCCATTGAGGATCTGAAGCAGCTCATCTACGATCTTAAGTGCTCGTCGCCCCGCTCGCGCGTGTCGGTGAAGCTGGTGTCCGAGACGGGTGTCGGTATCGTTGCCTCGGGTGTCGCCAAGGCCAAGGCCGACCACATCCTCATCTCTGGCCACGACGGTGGCACGGGTGCCTCCCGCTGGACTGGTATCAAGTACGCCGGTCTCCCCTGGGAGCTGGGTCTGGCGGAGACGCACCAGACGCTTGTTCTCAACGACCTGCGTGGCCGTGTCGTCGTGCAGACGGACGGTCAGCTCCGCACCGGGCGTGATGTCGCCATGGCCTGTCTGCTCGGTGCCGAGGAGTGGGGCTTCGCCACCACTCCCCTGATTGCCATGGGCTGCATTTTCATGCGCAAGTGCCACTTGTACGTTTACTATTCTTGTTGTTTTGGCATATTTTAATGGCCCCTTTGGCAATGTCTTTTCTGTTGGCTTTGGTAACTAATACTTTAATTTTTTTTGTTTAGGAACTCCTGCCCTGTGGGTATTGCCACGCAGGATCCTGAGCTTCGCAAGAAGTTCAAGGGTACGCCTGAGCACGTCATCAACTTCTTCTATTACATTGCCAATGAGCTGCGCGCCATCATGGCCAAGCTTGGTTTCCGCACTGTCAACGAAATGATTGGCCACGTCGAGGTCCTCAAGGTCCGCGATGACCTCAAGTCCAAGAAGATGCAGAACATTGACCTGTCGCTTATCCTGACCCCGGCCCACAAGCTGCGCCCTGGTGTCGCCACCTTCAACGTCCGCAAGCAGGACCACAAGCTGTACGTCCGCCTGGACAACAAGCTGATCTCCGAGGCCGAGCTCACCCTCGACAAGGGTGTGCCGTCGCGCATTGAGTGCGACATCATTAACACCGACCGTGCCATGGGTACGTCGCTGTCGTACCAAATCTCCAAGCGCTACGGCGAGGCCGGTCTGCCCACCGACACTGTGCACGTCAACATCAAGGGTTCGGCTGGCCAGTCATTCGGTGCGTTCCTTGCCCCCGGTGTTACGCTGGAGCTGGAGGGTGATGCCAATGATTACGTCGGCAAGGGCCTGTCTGGTGGACGCCTGGTTATCTACCCGCCCCGTTCGGCAGTGTTCAAGGCCGAGGAGAACATTCTGATCGGCAACGTCTGCTTGTACGGTGCTACCAAGGGAACATGCTTCTTCCGCGGTGTTGCCGCCGAGCGCTTCGCTGTGCGCAACTCGGGTGCCACGGCGGTTGTCGAGGGTGTCGGTGACCACGGTTGTGAGTACATGACGGGTGGCCGCGTCATCATTCTGGGCAGCACTGGTCGCAACTTCGCTGCTGGTATGTCCGGTGGTATCGCGTACGTCCTGGACGTCGACAACGACTTCCTGGGCAAGCTCAACACCGAGATGGTGGAGGCGTCTGGCGTCGAGGACCCCGAGGACATTGCCTTTGTGCGTGGCCTGATCGAGGACCACCACCACTACACGGGCTCTGAGCTGGCTGCCCGCATCCTGGTGGACTTCAACCGTGCCCTGCCTCGCTTCATCAAGGTTCTCCCCGTCGACTACAAGCGTGTCCTTGCTGAGGAGGCCGCCAAGGCCGCCGAGGCCAAGCGCGCGGAGTACAACTTGCCCGCCATCAAGGAGGCCGCTGCCCCTACCCCCAAGCCTGCTGCCGCGTCTGCTGGTGCTCTCCAGGACCTGGAGGACAGCGTTGGCGATCACGCTGCCGACAAGAAGAAGAAGGCGCTTGTGCTGGACAAGACCAAGGGCTTCATGAAGTACCACCGCCGCTCGGAGAAGTACCGTTCGGCCAAGACGCGTACCAAGGACTGGGCTGAGCTGTCCAGCCGCCTGGATGAGGACGAGCTCAAGTACCAGTCGGCCCGCTGCATGGACTGTGGTGTTCCTTTCTGCCAGTCGGACACTGGTTGCCCCATCTCCAACATCATCCCCAAGTGGAACGAGCTGGTCTTCCAGAACCAGTGGCAAGATGCTCTCAACCGCCTGCTCATGACCAACAACTTCCCCGAGTTCACTGGACGTGTCTGCCCTGCTCCTTGCGAGGGTGCTTGCGTCCTGGGCATCAACGAGGACCCCGTTGGTATCAAGTCGATTGAGTGCGCCATCATCGACCGTGGTTTCGAGATGGGCTGGATGGTTCCCACCCCGCCCCCCGTCCGCACGGGTAAGAAGGTCGCCATCATCGGCTCGGGCCCCGCGGGTCTGGCTGCTGCGGACCAGCTGAACCGTGCCGGCCACTCCGTCACTGTGTACGAGCGCGCCGACCGCCTGGGTGGTCTGCTGATGTATGGCATTCCCAACATGAAGCTCGACAAGCGCATTGTCAAGCGCCGCACGGACTTCATGGCTGCCGAGGGCGTCGCCTTTAAGACGGGTGTCGCCATTGGCGAGGAGATCAAGCTCCTGGACCTCAAGGCCGACAACGACGCCGTCGTGATCGCTACGGGCGCCACAGTCGCTCGCGACCTGCCGATCCCCGGCCGCAACCTGGAGGGCATCCACTTTGCCATGGAGTTTTTGCACAAGAACACCAAGTCCCTGCTGGACTCGGAGCTGGCTGACAACACGTACATCTCGGCCAAGGACAAGCACGTCGTGGTCATTGGCGGTGGCGACACCGGCAACGACTGCATTGGAACGTCGCTGCGCCACGGTGCCAAGTCGATTGTCAACTTTGAGCTGCTGCCGCAGCCGCCCAACGAGCGCGCGCGCGACAACCCGTGGCCGCAGTGGCCCCGCATCTACCGCGTGGACTACGGCCACACGGAGGTGCGCCAGCACCACGGCAAGGACCCGCGCGAGTACTGCATCATGTCGGACAGCTTCGTCGACGACGGCACCGGCAAGGTCAAGGGCATCAACACCCAACGTGTGGAGTGGACGCGCTCGGCCAGCGGCGGCTGGGACATGAAGAAGATTGAGGGCTCGGAGCAGTTCTTCCCCGCCGATCTCGTTCTTCTGGCCATGGGTTTCCTGGGCCCCGACGCTCGCGTTCTCGGCGACGAGATCGAGAAGGACGCCCGCAAGAACGTCAAGACGCCCGCCGGCCAGTACAACACCAACGTGCCGGGCATCTTCGCCGCGGGTGACTGCCGTCGCGGCCAGTCCCTGATCGTGTGGGGCATCAACGAGGGTCGCCAGGCCGCCCGTGAGGTCGATCTGTTCCTCGAGAAGTCGACCTCGCTCCCGGTGACTGGTGGTATCATTAAGCGCACGGCCGAGGAGGTTCTTGGCGCCGCATAAGCGAGAAGCATTTTCGTCCTTGAGATTGAATCTTGTTTTCTTCCGTTTTTTTGTCTTTCTTTTTTTTTTCTTTTGTCATGTTTCATGCATTTTCATGTTTTCTTGTCTGACCTGTTTCATTTGCTTTTATTGTTTTTTAGCCATGGTGTATTCGGAAACGGGAGGCGGCAATCTGCAGTCGGGAGGTTTCCTGTTTGCTTTGCATTTCCACGTCTGTTGCTTCATATACCTGTGTGTTATGTTTGATGAGTTTTTTGATTTATGTACATACGAGTCTCCTGATTAGCTTCCCACAAAAAACATTGTAAATTGATCCCTTTCACGTGATGAATACTGTGAGTGCTTAAATACGGCTGAAATGCTGCTCTGTTTATAAGAGCTCAGTAAAACGCTCAAAATTGCTGGTCACCTCACCGCGGTCGACGATGTTCAATGACTGGCAAACGAGCTGTGGAGACCGTTGTTTCAGACAAACAATCGCATTCGACATCTACCCAATCCACTTTCATAGGCTTCACTACATGTGTATGACACTTTTTTGTTGTTGTAATAACATTGCTTTTCTTGAGAATTCTTATGGCCTCATATTCCAGCCGTTCTTGAGCTCGGCTACGCGAACCGAGAGTGTTAAACGGGAAAACGTGAAAACGTGAAAACGTGGCTTGCATCCGTCGAATTGTCTCATGCTTCCTTTTTGTCTATTTCTTGTGCACTCGGTGGTTGATTCCTGGTGTCGAACTCATGGTGCGTGCAACCGATTTTACCGGTCTCTCATCAATATCGGCTTTCATAACCAGAGAGCGTGGCGTGGGCGCTCCTGCAGAAACTGGAACAAAAGGTAAGGGCCGTCTTGGGCAACACCACACGTGCAAAAGCACAGCTCGACGATTGGTCAATGGAGCGGCGAAGTGGGGTCACAGAGCTCTCCTGGGTCGCAGCTGCTTTTCAGTGAACCAATCCCAGCGGGGCAGCACGGCTTGATTTGGTACTTGAAGGTCCTCGCAATTTGTGGTATAAAACACAGGTACTTCGTTGCTATGTGGGGGCACCTTCTCTTAAGGGCCATGCCAGACTGCCGCGGGCATGCTCGTTCCTCCCATTGTTCAATAGGCCTGGCAACGCATTAGGCAAGAGAGCGACAAAATACGTCGAGACGTCACCTACCTCAGACGAAGCATAGAAAATCTGCAAATCTCTCTGCCAAAGCAAGTCCACACAGAAGCTTGTCTCGATCCGGTCTCGTTTTTCCACTTTGCACGCACGATTGGACTTCCGTTTGGACAATATCGTGGCATTTGTTGTTTTGCTCTCTTCTCTTTTGTTTTTCACGACTTCAATTTTGGATACCGTCGCTTCGTTTCGTCTCCTCGTTGGATTGATTTGGACGGTTTTCCGGGTTTTGTTGTCGTCTCTTTCATCCTTGACCTTCGATCCATTGTCGCTTGTACCAGCTTTTCGACAACCCGCGACGGTTCCGCCACAATGCGGTTCGGCAAGACGCTGCGCGAGTCCATCTACCCGCCATGGAAGGCCGAGTACATTGATTACAGCAAGCTTAAGGCGCTGCTGCGCGACGATGAGGGTGCTGGTTCCGACACCGAAGGAGGCGAGTCCACCTGGACCGAGGACGACGAGAACCGCTTCTGCGACGAGATCTTCAATGTGCAGCTCGAAAAGGTCGCCAAGTTCCAGGAGGACCGTGTCAACTCGCTGCGTGAACGTGCCGACGCCATCTTCGAGAAGCTGCGCGACCTGACGCCCGTGCACGACGCCGGCGGCGGCAGCACCACGTCCGACTCGGCGACGGCCGAGGGCAGCGCGAGCGGCAGTGCGGCGGCCGCAGCGGCCAAGGACAAGAGCGAGATCACGGTGCAGCGCGTGCGCGAGATCGAGACAGAGCTCGACAGCATCACCAACGAACTGCGCGAGCTCAAACGCTACAGCAGCCTCAACTACACGGGCTTCCTCAAGATTGTCAAGAAGCACGACCGCAAGCGTGGCAATCACTACCGCATCCGGCCGATGATGCAGGTCAGCATGACGCGCCGGCCGTTCAACTCAGAGGCCGGCTACTCGCCGCTGCTGGCCAAGCTGTCGCTCATGTACGAGGCCGTGCACCACTACCTCAACCCCGACGAGGCCAACCTGCCGGTCGATCTGGAGACGCAGCAGGAGACCAACCACAATGGCGAGCGCTACAAGGCGTTCAAGTGTGAGTAACGAGTCTCATCTCATTAACCCCCGCTCCCCATCGTGACATTATGTCGTCTTTCCCGCGGCATTGACATTTGACTAACCGAATCCGTAACCCGTTCCTACAGTCTGGGTCCATCCTGACAACCTACTCGAGGTCAAGACGATGGTCCTGCGGCACCTTCCGGCGCTCGTGTACAGCGAGTCGTCCGCTAAGGAGGCCGACGCGACAGTGGACCCGACGCTGACCTCGCTGTACTTTGACAACGACAGGTTCGACCTGTACCGCGCCAAGCTCGACCGCAACAGCGAGTCCGACAACGCCGGCTCGCTGCGGCTGCGCTGGTACGGCCAGCTAGCGAACAAGCCTGAACTGTACCTGGACCAGAAGGTCGTGCACCACGACGGCACCAGCTACGAGAGCCGCATCACGATCAAGGACAAGTACGTCAAGCCGTTCCTCGACGGCAAGTACAAGATGGAGAAGACCATTCAGAAAATGGAGCGCCAGGGCGAGCAGGCCGAGACTGTTACGGCCTTCAAGACGACGGCCGACGCCATTCAGTCGTTTGTCGAGGAGAAGCAGCTCGAGCCCGTGCTTCGTGCCAACTACGTGCGTACTGCGTTCCAGAAGCCGGCCGACGACCGCGTGCGCGTCTCCATCGACACCAGCCTGGCCTTTATCCGCGAGGACAACCTGGACCAGCGCCGCCCGTGCCGCGAACCGTCCGAGTGGCACCGCCGCGACATCGACACGGGCAATGTCACCTACCCCTTCTCGGAGCTGCCGCCTAGCGACGTGTCGCGCTTCCCCTTTGCCGTGCTGGAGATCAAGGTGCGCGAGGACGGCACCAGCCGCAAGAGCCCTGCCTGGGTCGAGGACCTGATGGCCTCCCACCTGGTGCACCCCGTGCCGCAGTTCTCCAAGTTTGTGCACGGTGCTGCCGTGCTCTTTGACGACTACGTCAACCAGCTGCCCTTCTGGCTCAGCGACCTTGACCGCGACATTCGCCGCGACCCTAAAGAGGCCTACGAGGAGGAGGAGCTGCGGCGCGCCCAGCGTGCGGCCGACGAACAGGTCGTCGGCAGCTTCCTGGGCACCAGCAAGCTGGGCTCGTCGGCCAAGCTGAGCAAGAGCTCGCCGGCCGCCAAGTCGTCGTCGTACCTGGCCGGGCGCCTCACTGCCGAGACGTCCATTGCCCAGCGCCTGCAGTCGCAGTCGGGCGTCAGCGGCATCAGCGGCGCCAGCACTGGCGCCGCTGGTGAGCAGGGTGAGTCGTCGTCGGCTGCCGCCGGCGCAAACGGACACGACTCGAACGGCGCGACGCGCACGGCGGGCTACGGCACCATCTCGTCGGTGCTGCCGTCCTTCTCCCTGACGCGGTACGCCCAGTGGCGCCGCTCCAAGGACAAGGCGTCCGTGCTGCCCGAGGGTGTCACGGAGCCGACCGAGTGGCTTAAGAACGACGGCCCGTTGCACATTGAGCCCAAGGTGTGGCTGGCCAACGAGCGCACGTTCCTGAAGTGGCAGCACATTGCCATTCTGCTGGGCACGCTGGCCGTGGCCCTCTTCACGGCCGCCGCCAACAGCAGCGACAACGCCGTTGCGCTCGGCATGGGCGTTGCCTACATTGCCGTGGCCGTCTTCACGGGCTTCTGGGGCTGGTACATGCTGCACATTCGCCGTGGCATGATTGTGGCGCGCAGTGGTCACGACTTTGATGACATGATTGGCCCGGTAGTCGTGAGCGTTGCGCTGATGATTGCGCTGATTCTGAATCTTGTGTTTGCGTACCGCCGTGCGTTCCAGCGGTGGGCCGACGACGATGTCAACCATATCGCGGAGGCTGGTAACAGCAGCAGCTACGTACACGCATAACCTTGTGGGCGAATGCGAGCAAGCCACCAGGCCTGGGAGGAGAGTCACGGGCGTATGCCTCTGGTCTCTCTGCGTCTTGGGCCAGTCGCCACACGTTGGTCCCACAACAAAAGGTAACCGAGCAGTGCCGGTCCAGAAGACGTGGCACATTGCAAGACAGAGTACGAGGGCGACAAAAGAACGAAGTCTCTTGTCTCCGCCTCACAATTTTTCTTAATCAACCAAGCATATTAAAGCGAGACGGGGCTGTCGTTTCATGCGTTTACTTTTCTGTTCCATTTTGTATTCCTAGTTGCATCTTTGGTCTTGTTTTTGTTACTTTGTTCGTTAGGACAGCTGCATTTCTATTTTGGGTGCCTTGTCAAGTTGTAAATTTACAAGTTTGTTTCGCAATATTCGGCGAACGAGAGCATATTCGTTATGGCCGCTTGCATCGTATTTTGCGGTGGCATTGGTATATGTGGCCTTCTGCCATTCGGGGTTACTTGGACGGCAAAACTGGCTGACACGGGAGTTCGAGACGTGAAGCCAGACGTGTCTGTATGACGTCGTATGTCGTTTGTTTATTTTGACAGCAAGCCACGGCGGCTTAGTGCCGCTCCCAGCCTGCCGTGTGGCTGCTTGCAATCGTGGCATGCTTTCACTCGAATCTCTGTGTCACTGGCAAAGTACAGCATTTTGGCAAGCACGCCTGGAGGCACAATCTTGAAGCCAACCACTTGTTAGTAGACTTTGTGTTTCGCTGAAACGGAGTGTCGCCCAAAGGCGAGGAGGCCGCCGCAAAAGTGTCGTTGCCTTGCCTCCGAACGTCTTTGGCCTTTCGTTTTGAAACATTTTGCTCTTCTTCTCACGTTCGTTCTTTTTGCCCTCCGCCACCCAATCCCAAGCTGCAGCCTTGCCAGAAGCGCATCGATTGGCCCCGTTCTGCAAAACACCCGTTTTGACGTCTCGTCGTGGGCTCCTTTTTGATTGGTAAAGGCTGGGATATTTTGGTGGCAGGAGGTGCATATCTGCGTGCATATAGCTGCAGGCAGCTGAGGAGGAGAGGCGCATTTGAAATAAGAAGAAAAAAAATTAAGAGAACAAAAAAGGAGAAGCAAGAAAACGGAGCTGCACCAACGTTGCAGCACAGACCAGTAAATTACCCGCAGACCGCCTCTTTTGGAAGAAGCAACGGCTCGCCCACAAACAAGCAAAACACTCAAACAGCCAATGTCTCGGGCGAGACAAGTATGCAGGAGGCAATGAGGAGATGGCAGGACAGAGGAGAGCGTCGGAGGGGGGACTTGACGTTCGATCGTGACAACTCACTGCCCACTTGGTTGCGGCTCGTGCCTTCTGTTTCCAGTCAGGCTTGACAAATTGCCTTTTTGGGGAGGAAAACCCAATGGGCAACCACCAGTTCCGTCGCCCTCACCTTCCCCAGACACAAAGTCTACAATCAGAAACAGCCGGTTTGCTGGGAGCCTACCTAGCAACCCGTTAATCTACGCGTATCACACCGTCTGTGATTTGCCCGTGCCGGATAGCTGGCACGCTGTCAGAGTATACGCATTCCCACAATATGCGGCCTCCTTACCTGTGCTTTTTATTGTTTGCAGTTGCATTATCATCCCTTTTGTCGATGCCGTGTTTGTCGCCCGCCGCCCATCGTAACTTCCCAATTTGTCCAGTCCCATGCATACACCTTTTCAGTGTCTTTTTGGGCAGCTGGCTGACTGGCTCGCTCTTTCCGCATTCAATTCCGTTTTAACCCACGACACGGCGCGCCTTCCCCTTTTTTTGCTCCTTCCTAGTTTCATAGTTTCTAATCCGGTCGTCCAATATATTGCATCTCGATTCTCTTTTTTGCTTCACTTTTGATCTTTCACTCTTTGCTCTCCTGTCCCACCACAGCGAGTTGTTTTCAACTGTCTTGAAAGCCTCCCAATGCTGCAACGCAAACCGCTGACGACTGTAAGCGCATTACGTCCGCCCACCAACCACTCACACCCTCACATGCCCAGATCGGCCTGTGTCCACAGCCACCCAGCCACGCAAGATACCAAGGATACCAAGCTCCCTCCCTCTGACCTCACACGTCTGGGTTTGACTTTCGCCTCTTCCTATAAACGCGCGAGCAGGGGTGTGCAGTCGGCATACGAGAGTGTGGTGCACGAACAACACATAGCTTCCTTTTAGTAGCCAGTCCAGCTGCGAGGCAAAGTGGTTGCATCAAAGCAATCCTTTGCCCTCGGCTCTGTTCTCCACATGCGACCTCTCCGCCGGGCTGGCGACAATTAATAGCACTTTATATTTTTATTCTTTATTTTTTTTAATATTTGCATAAGAGCCCTTTCAACTTCCGCATATCCTTGTACTATCTTCACATTTTTTCAACACTCACCACCTTTGTCTCATTCCAAGATATATTCTAAACAAGCAGCACAGAACCATCGCCATCATCGATCACCTCGATCCAGTCGATGTCAGACATCGCATTGAGCAGCACCATCGTCTCACATTACAATGAGCCACCATGAACACCACAAAAGACGCAAAGCAAGAGAAACGAGGTTTCTGGAGCAACCTCTTCCGCTCGCGAAGCTCCAAGGGCAAAAATGCGAAACTTGTACGGCTGTGGCTATCCTCGAAACATGACGAAAGTGTCTCCCAAAGCTAACCTACACGAACCAGGAAAAGAACAACCCCAAGAAGACCACAGGGGACAGTCCAGATGGAGACGTTCATGTCCCAGCCACTCGGAGAACACCTCCTGGGCTTCGCCGGCCAGGCCCTACCCAAGTCCGGCAGCCAGGTCCCATTCCGGTGCAGGAACAGCAGCCAACGAGATACCAGAAAGAGAAGGTCTCGGCGCCTGCTAATGGCGGCAACCAAGCGGCAGTCTACCGATACCCTGACAGGGCCATGCCCAAGTCCGCCGGCGGCACAAAGCATGCAAAGGGCAAGGCAAGCCCCGCGCCGAAAAACAACGGGACTTCCTACTCCTCTGCTCCAGTCAGCCCGTTAACCGAGTGGCCTCCCAACAACATCCCCGCCGACACAGAACTCCCTCTGGGAGGGGCCATTGAGTACATTTCTCGGGGTGCACCTGTCTACAGCGGCTTCCGGAAGGACGTTCCGCACATGTCCGACCAGTACTTTACCCTCTACAGCACATCGACGGGAAACCAGAAGACGTCGGGCGCAAGTCGAAGTGGACGACATAGCAGAGATCGGGACCGCGATCGTGACAGAGGACGAGGCGACCGCCGCGGGGAGAGGGATATGGACAGGGACGACAGCAACAACGGCGACATCTCGACGGACGGCATAGATCTACACAGCTCCATGACGCAGTTCATGACAATGCGCATCAACCAAGGGCCAGGCTCTTCTGCGAGTTCTTCTCAAACTCCACTCTCGCCTTGGGACACACTCGAGCAGCCAAGCTTCGCATTTTGCTTTGGCCGACGGCCGGGCACCATTACCCTGAACCATTGGGCCGGCCTCTCTGGATCCTTGCCGCCGACGATTGCCCTGCGCGACTCCGGGGTCCGCCCGCGCGACGTCAACCTCACACAGATATGCCAGCGACTACGAGATATCCAACTGAATGGCCTATGCGAAGACGACGAGGACCGCCTTTACCGCAACTTATATCGTCGCCTCTTAAGAGATCCCGACCGAATGTTTGGCCCCCACCGTACTTTGGACAAGCAGATTACTGATCTAATCTTGGTGCTGTCACGCCCCGACTACTGGATCGACTTTACGGTTCCGCGCAACCAGGTCGCCACCCGTTTTATTTTTGACACCGGCCACTCCAACCATGAGCAGTATCAACGGTTCTTCCACCAGCTACTGCTCAGCATCGAACTCGACCTTCGCATCTCGTCCCGCCACCACAGCGACTGGGCCAAGGAGAAACTTCTCCAGCAACTCCCGCCGTCGCTCCAGTGGGACCTAGCCCTCGCCCGTCGCTGGCAGGACAACATCCGCGTGGATGCCTATGGAAAATCGGCCGACCAAGTGAAACTTCGACTCAAGCTCAAGAACCGCCAAGTCCGCATGTTCAAACGCTTTGCCGGCATGATGAAGTGGCCCAACTACGCGGCGACCGTAGCCAACTTGAAGCAGCGCGATGCCGATGGCAGCCTCACCTCCATCAGCTCGCATGCCATGGCCTTTTTCAGTGGTCTTGTACTACCCGGGGTACGTCATTCTCGACACTCCACTCTTCACCTGTGCACCGATGCAATCCATTTGATATATGCTAACCCCATGGACAGCCGACGTTCCCGTTTACAATCATGAATGCTCTCATCGACGTCGATCCCGACCAAGCCACCGACGATCTGTCTTTGCTCACCCATTTGCATCCCAATTGCGGTTTCCAGTACCGCAACAGCTACACATACTGGACCTCAACGTGTATTGTTGGCAAAGTTTTGGCGCCGACTTGCCGGGAGCTAGCCGGCTGGATCGGCCCTGCCCGCCCAACGGTGGATCTCGGCCGGTCACAGATTGCCCGCATTCGGACCCGACGACCACGACAGGACCTCTCGCCAGACGATGCACTCACGATGGCCGAACGCTCCGACCCACTTGGACCGCCTGCCGAAGTCTTCCCCGTCAAGGAATACAAGCTTGTTTCGGCCGACTCGTCGGACGTTGTAGACACCGTTCGTATTGAGCTATTGACTCTCCGTCCAGCTGCGACGCCAGGTCCCTCAACAGGCGCCAGCCCGGCTTCGGCCGGCTTCGGCTCCGGCTCCGGCTCTCTGCCACCACCCTCGACAGCTGGCACACCCGTTCCAGGCAGCAGCACAGCCCCTCGCTGGTTCGATGCCTCCGTCCAGTTTGCCATTGACGGCATATCGTGGCCGATGCGCCTTAACTACGATGTTTCCTTTGTTTGTGCGTGGCCTTGCTCCAACAAGCCGCATCCGCTCTTTTTTGATTACGTATACGATGTCGTCAAGGCCGACGAGATTGTCAACGTCCACGACTGGGCCACG